ATAATATTCGTCTTGAAATAAACGTCCAGAGAGACGAAAAAAAATAAGAAGCCCATATAATTATTGTAAGAAGACGTAAATAATATTCGTCTTGAAATAAACGCCCAGAGAGACTAAAAAAATAAAAATCCCATATAATTATTATGAGAAGACGTAAATAATATTCGTCTTGAAATAAACGTCCCGAGAGACGAAAAAAATAAAAAAAATCCATATAATTATTATGAGAAGACGTAAATAATATTCGTCTTGAAATAAACGTCCCGAGAGACGAAAAAATAAATAAAAAAGCCCATATAATTATTATAAGAAGACGTAAATAATATTAGTCTTGAAATAAACGTCCAGAGAGACGAAAAAAAATAAAAAGTCCATATAATTATTATGAGAAGACGTAAATAATATTCGTCTTGAAATAAACTGTTAGGCAAAGTAAAACGCACGAAGTAGTTATTCAGTGTATGGTTTATTTGGAACAGAAGTAAAGCTTAAAACTAACATTGCTGATAGCTAGTATTGGAAGTAGTTCATACATTTTGGAAGTAATGGAAAAATACACTTAGAGAAATATTTGGCATTGACTTTCAACACTCCTCCTCAATGCAATATATTTCTCTGTTTTGCGTAAGTTAAATAAGTAAACATTTGATTTATATAAGAAAGAATATATTATATGTATATCAATTCAATTCATTAGGAAATACCCATTTCTTTTACAAATTTTTCATGTTTAGTTTTTTGCAAATTTTTTGTTAACAAATCAGCAAACATATTGTTAGTAGAAATGTAATTTAAATCAATTTTGTTGGCTTTATACATCTCAATATGGTGGTATCTGACATCGATATGCTTGCTTCTGGCGGGGTACGTTGGATTTCGGACGAGGTGTTGCGCACTTTGATTATCGCAGTTGATTGTCATAGGTCCATACATTTCAAAGCCAATTTCACATAATAATTTGCGTAAATACTCGGCTTCTTTTGCTGCTGAGGATAAACTAACATATTCGGCTTCCGTGCTACTTAGTGCCACGATGTTCTGGTTTTGTGATTGCCAAGAAAATACACAATTCGAAGCGATGAAAGATTTTCGGTCGGTGTTGTCACCAGCCCCATCGGCGTCGGCGAATCCTTCAACTAGCGCACCAGTCTTTTCGTAGTGCAATTTATATGATGCCGTACTTTTCAGATAGCGCAAAATATGTTTCAATGCTGCCTCATGCTCACTATGGGGATCAACATTGCGCTGAGATAGCTTTACTACCGAATGTAGTATGTCTGGTCTCGTTGACAATCCCAAATACATGAGCGCACCGACTAACGACTGGTATTTTGTAGTATCGACTTTTCTGCAAGAATCGTTTTTACAACTTACTTGGAAATTTGGTGGTAATGGCACTGTAGTTGGTCTGCAGTTTTCCATCCCATACTGCTTCAGCAAGGCTTCAATATATTGCCGCTGACATATAGTTACAGCGCCCGTAGCGCCTTTCCGGTCAATTTCCATACCTAAGAAATGCCTCAGGGGGCCACCATCTACCACATCAAAATATTCGGCAATTTTTACCTTGATATCGTCAAGCTCTTGCCTGGAAGAGCTTGCAAACAATATATCATCAACGTATACACAATGGTTCGGTTTCACCTGGTTTAAAGCCCATTGAACGAAGTACACTATCAAGTTTCTTATTCCACTCA